TTCGGTTTAAGTAAAAAATAAAAGGTGGGTTCGGGTTTGGTTTATGGAAATATTTTTGAACCCAGGTTTGGTTCCGGGTTCAGCTCGGGTTTAAGAATTTTCGAATTGATATTAAAAAACTAGACATAATTTTGGTATAAAAATAAATTTTTTATTTTATTTATAGACAAAATACATTTAAAAATACAAAACAGTCATAAACCTAGAAATAAAAGAGTTAAAGAGGATAAATTTTAAATAGCAATGATTTCATAAAATTAAAAAACAGATATATAAATTTAATTTCAATTATAATATACACTTCATTAATATATATTAAAAATTAATCTGAACAAAAAATAAATATAATAATTTTTACTTTGACTTGTTCATTCCTTTAATTAGTAATCCTTGAGACTAAGTAAAAAATTAAAAATAAATGGCGTGAATGTATTTAATTGCTTTAAATTTATTTAACACTCCAATAGGAATCTTTGAAAATAAATTTTTAAAAAAATTAAAAAATGGCGTAAATGAATTAAGTTGTTTAAAATTTATTATCACTTCACTTAAAAGGTATTATGATAATTTTTTAAAATCTCAATTAAATTATTAATATTTGTATTTACAATTATACAAATATCTTAATATATGATTTTAAACAATACACTGAACCCGCTTGAACCCGGGTTCATAAAAATTCCTGGGTTCGGTTCGGGGTTGTAAAAATTTTATAAATGGTGTTCAGGTTCGGTTCGGGTTCAGATTTTTTATCAAAAACCCGGGTTTACTCTTCCGGGTTCAGGTTCGGTTCAAATCCCTGGATAAAAGCTAATAATTATTTTGAAGTCAGGAATTTGTCACAATGTATTTATTTAATATTAATTTTAAGTCTAATATTAAGTATTTATATTTGGTATAAAAGAAGAAATTAATAGAGAGGCAAATAAAATAAGATTGTTAGTTAAAACAAATGGATAGAGAAAAAAATGAAAAATATGATAAAATTGAAAAGTTATATAATGAAATATGTTTGATGAAAAATGTGAAATAGTAAAAATAAATATCATTAGAGATACTAAAAAAAGAAAATTTGAAATTAATGATAATAAACCAGAGATCATTAGAGATTCTGAAAAAGAAAATGATGATATGAATATAAGAAATAAAAAAAAAGAGAGTGAAATTGAAAAAATGAGAAAAATAATGAGAGAAGAATGGGAAAATGAAAGAAAGGAGATAGAAGAATTGGAAAGAAAAAATAAAGAAAAATTGGATAAAATTGAATTTAAAAGAAAAGAAATATTAATAGTAGAAATGACGGAAATGAAAATAAAGATAAAAGAATTGGAGGAGAAGAATAAAGAAAAAGAATTAGAGCGAAAGAAATTATGGAAATAATTCAGGAGAAAATAGGGACAGAATGGAATATAGCAGGAATCAGTGTAACAGAACGGGTCAAAATAGAATGTGTTATAATTGTGGAAAATATGGACATATAGGCAGAGAATGTAATGAAGGAATAAATAAAAAAATGTTACCTGTAGTTTGCAAAAGATGTGGAAACCGAGGACATAATGCTGAGGAATGTTATGTTCCGGCATATAAAATATTAAATGAAAAACAAAGAATTACAGCGGCGGAAATTGTGGAAAGTTTGGACATAATCAGGATAAGTGTTATAAAAATCAACAGGGAAATTCCAAAGCATTTCCAGCGGGGGAGTATAGAAAATAGAAGAGAATAATATTTATGAAAAAAGAAATGTAGAAGATATAACGTGTTTTAAATGTCGTAATATTGGTCATTATGCGAAAGATTGTACATCAGGATGACTGTATGATAGTGAAATAAAAACATTTGGAGGAGTTACATCAAAAAATGAGTTGGATCTATTGAAAGAAAATATATATAAAAATAAGATAAATGATCATAATGAAATTGAAAGAAAATATATATAAAAACAAGATAAATGATCATAATGAAATAGAAAGAAAAAATGAAGGAAATGTAAATAACACTTATGGGATTTATAAAAATATGTTGGAAAATGAAACACGAAAGAATATACATATTAGTAATTAACCGATTTTCAAGTTGGAAGATAATAAAAATTTTGATCAATGTCCAAGAGTAAAAGTGAATGTAGGAAATAAAGAGATTTTGATGTTATTGGATACAGGGGCAACAATATCTGTGATGGGGTATAATGAATTTTACAAGTTATGGCCGAATGAAACAATAATTAAAGATAAAATGAGGATAAAACAATTGAATGGTTCAGAAATTTTGCCATTGGGAAAAGTAAATTTACTGGTATTAATAAATAACGAATTAATAAATTTGGACTTGTGGGTATTAGAAGAAAAAATTGTTACAGTTTTGGGATGGAATTGGATATCAAAATTTGGTTTAGAAAATATTTTGTTGAATATATTTCAGGGGAAAAATGAAAAATAAAAATATTGAAGTATTAAAAAAATCTGTAAAAGAGGTGGATGTTAAAAACTCGGGTAATAAATTAATGAAAGAAATTTTATAGAATATTAAAATTGAGAGTAATAATAATCAAAGAATTTGTGATAATAAAGAAAATGAATTTGTGGAAAGTAAAATGCTAAAGATGATGAAATTAAAAATATATTAAATAATTCTGAGGAAGTTCAGAAAAATGGAAAAATTATAAGTGATAAAATGGGTCAGGAAAAACTTGATATTTTGGATAATAAAATTGATATAAGTTTAATACCTCTGAACCTGATACGGAAATTAAAAAAAAAATTGATTTGGAAATTAATAATATTACAGTTGATTTGGAAGTTGGTAATATTTTGGAATCTGAAATTAAAAAAAATAGTGATTTGGAAATTGAAAATATTTCGGTTGATATGAAAGTGGAAAATATTTTGGGAATTGATGATGAAAATTTTAATTTGGAAATAGACAATGAAATAATTTCAGGGAAATCGAGGATGGTGAATAATTATATAAAATGTGATGAGATTTAGACCTCTTGAATTATTCATTTAACTCATATTATTAAAATTGTTTTAATAATTTTAACTTTGTCTTTTAATTTACATAATGATTAATAGCATCGTACTCTCTCCCCTAGCATATATATTTTTTAAATAATTCTATTCAATCACAAATTATATTGACTGTATTACCCAGGGCATAAATTTGGAAATTTGTCACCACTAACAAATTTAGAGCATTCTATATTATGATAGGTAGATATTCCGGAAATTATTATAATTCATAGATAGATTTTTAATATTTGTTTAGCTTATGATTAAGAACAAAATAGAGCAAAAGAACAAATTTCTTGCCATCTAGCCCCAGTTTTCTTTAAACTCTCAAAATAAACAACAAATTTTTATTCGGATAACACTTTTAAAATCTAAAGTTTGTTTAAAATTTAACTACTATTTGAAATGGATATTATTAAAGGTTGGATTTATATAATTTACTTTTCCAATTTAATAATATTAATTATCACACTCATATCTCGCCGTTTTATCTATTGGCTATTCATTCCTTATTTCCTTATCTAAATCACCTATGTGGTATTCCAAAATATTTGAAACTATCTTATATGCCTTTCACTTGGCTCCCTGTCAATCCTGGTTTCAAGTATTATGACTCCAAATATTCTGTCTCTTTTAACCTTAGGTATAAATTATTTGTCACTTTTAAAATTTTGTAACAACAAGATGTAAATTTTATTTTTTTGTAACATCTGATACTATTATTATTTTTCCTTGGCGAACTTTCCCTCCCCTTCTGGGTTAGTAGTAAGCTGCAAATTAGCCAACAGGGAACCCTTAATTAATATTTTATTTAAGATGAATTCTTGTATTTTAATAACAATGCATTGCTTTTGTTTTTTTTAAAATAATTATTCCACCAGGCACTTCTACACCCAGCCAAACTATATTACCCCCTGTTAGAGATTTGGAAATAAATTTTTCTACCCGAACTGTAAAGAAGTGGGTTTTTAGACCCAAACTAATCTGAAAATTTTTATTAAACCCAACCCGAATATAAAATTAATCCTATATTCTCGACCCAACCCTTCTCGAAAATGAAAATATAGGTAAATTTTAGCATATTTTAAGAAATAATGTAAATTGAATAAAATTGTAAAATAATACGCAATTAGAAGGCGACTTATTGATATATCACTGATTAAATGTACCAAATAGAAAGAGGCTGGCGGTAACATCAACACAAAAAATATTAATATTACATTCCTTCCTATCCTTTTTAACATAGTATCACAATTATAAAAAAACTAAAAAATATTTTAAAAGATCATAAGGAAATGTTCATATCCAATTTCTTAGAATTTTGCAATATAGAATAAAACACATCATCAAAGTATTTAAGGAATATTTTAATTTAATGTATAACATTAAAATAGAGATATAATAAATATTTTGAGTTTGAGATTTCTTTATCTATGGGGCATGGGCTCCAAAGGGCCATGGGCAGGGCCTTTAAAAAAATTTTGCCCCCAGACTTCAGGTCAAAATTTTAGATTTTATAGGTCTCTAATCTAAATAAATTAGAAATATAAGAAAGAAAATCCAGATAAAAGTTAGAAAAAAAAACGAAATCAATTAGCATACCTTCTACCCAGTAAATGCATTTCTATCCATACCAAACTTCCCGAGTTTTCACAACTCCCCCCCCCCTTCAATTTCAATAACGATATTGCATCATAACCCACCCCCATCCGAGTGCCTGTCTCCAATAACATTTACAAAATATGAAATCTGCATATTTCTCTTTCATGGCTATATCCTGTAATTAGCTTTTATATCCCTTTGTTACAAAATTTATACGGAAAAAAGGTTACATTTTTATAAAAAATATAGTAAATAATTTTATAGATTATTTGATTTTTTTTATGAATTCATTATATTTCTCAACATAGCACCTTTAGGACATTTATATTAATTTTTTATTTAAAAAAAATGTCGTAAAAGTATTTCATAAAAAAAATATATTTTGCAAATAACTAAAATTTTTATTTTCGTCTCTTATTTAGTTTTGAATATGCTAAAATTTTAGATTTCTGATACCTTTTTATAGAGTGATTCTAACTTCCTTTGAGAAAAAGGTAATAAAATTTATAGTATAGTATTTTTAATATTTATCAAAAAATATCTTCATACTTATTTTTTTAATTGTAATAATTTATACTAATTCAAAAAATTACTGTAACTTCCGATTTTTTGCCTAATTGGATGATCTTATGGGATCATATTATCGAGAGCCCAAATTAATTAACCAAGTTATAGTAATCTTATAATTTATATATGAATGTTCTATGGTGAAGATTATATACTTTTAAAAATTATCAGGGATATAATCAAGAATTTTTGCTTATAAGAGTGCTGGGAGCGTTGTTAAACGGCTCAATATTTTAGCCAGAAAAATATTTCCTAAGCCTCAAAATTTTGCTAATTTATGTCTATACCTTTGTGCCATCTATGAGCAAAATCTTCATGCTTGCGTAACATTATTCTGAATAAAATATTAAGTTAGTTTTTAAAAATCGGCTCAAATCGAACTGTTTAACAACACTAGCTGGGACAATAGGATTTTTTTGAAAATTTGCACATTTCGTCTATATGAAAAATTAACTATTCAATTTTTAAAACTAATTACTAGTTTAATATCATATCATTTATTTAGAATATACTAAATAAATTTAATTAAAAATTTTTACCGAGAGTAAATATTTATTCGGGGGGAAGGGGATTTATAAATTTACTAATTAACTTGGAGAAAATTTTACTAATCGTTTGAATTCGTATTTTAGCTGATTAGTTATCAAGGGAGAATTTAACAAAAGTATTTTATACGAAATTTTATTTTTTATATCTCTTCTACTCGTTTCTTGATTTATATTTTTATATTCCCAATGAATTTTTTTTATCAATAAAACTTTCAGTTAAAGAAGGCTTTTTAAATTAAACTTATGAGCTGTATATTCATTTAAGGCTTTTTCCATTTTTTACGTTTTTCTAAACCACAAAAATAACACATTTCATAATAAAAACTTAAACTATTTATAAATATGACTATGATTTTAAATAATTTTTTCCTTTTTCTTTAAAAAAAATAGTATGTAAGTAATTATCCCTTATTGTTAGTATTGTTTAAAGTTACTTTTTAAAGTTACTTTTTAAAGTTAATAATTACAAATTATATTCTTAAAAAGTAACTGGTTACAGTCATTAGATATATTTTCTAAAATCAATTGTAGCTTATTACGGTTATATTTAAAAAGTAACTAGTTACATTGAAAATTAGTTTAGAAAATTTTTATATTAAGCCTTTTTAATATAATCACAAAGCTCTTTCTTTCCTGATAAATTACCATCACATGGGCTATCTTAATGAATATTTCATTATTCGCTAGAACATTTGATTAGAAATTTGCCGTTCAAATTTCTTATCAATGACTCCATGCAGCCTCTTATCTATCGTATAAATAGTTAGTCATTTATATTAGTCTGTTTAAAATATGTTATTTTTTTGTTTGTCAATCTTTTTATTATACAAAATAATTCTGTCATTTGAAAATTTTAATTCGAAAAATTAAGAAGAAAAATAAATAAAATTTAATTAAAAAAATTGCATAATAAATATTTATTTTGCTCCGAAAAAATATATAATATTTATTTTTCATAGAAATTTGGTTTGAGCGAAATAAATATTAATTTTATTTTATTGACAAAAAAATATTTTCAAAGTTGGTGTCTAAAAGATGTGCCAGTTTTTCTTAAAAACAAGACTAAGGAAAACTTTGTTCAGGAGCTTAGATGAGACATTATATTTAGTAAGCAGTAATTTTAAATTTGGAAAATCATCATATAAAGATAGTGAATATATGTGTAAATTTTTTAAAATAACTTGAAAAGTATTCCAAAAAATGTAACGAGTTCTGTTATTTTTTCGCTAAAATGTCGCAAGATTCTCATCGAGTTGCTGAACATGAAGAAGAGACAGTGACAAAAAACTTTCTAAAAAATATTTAAAAAGGAAAACGAGTAAACCTCACAATTATAAATAACACCTAGGAAATCAGGAAAAATAATTATAAGGGAAGAAAAATTAAATTTAATTATTTGTATTATATTTTAGTGAGTTTTCAAAATGGCCTCTAAACATTTATTTTACTTCTTATCCCCTCAATTTCAATGATGATCTATCCCCTTCCCCTTGTAATAGATCCCTGGCTAGAATTAAGTAGTCAGACTGGGTATCGTTTAATCATCAGAACCCACTAACCAGCACTGTAAACTATTTTTTATACGATTTTTTTTAAAATTATCTCTATCTCTCTAATAAATCGATATCTAGAAAAAAATCTTTTCAAATAAATTTTTCCTTTCCATAATATTTTCTATTTATTCGAATAAACTTTTTAGAACCAAAAGTTTTAATATCCCAATTTATATGAAAATATAGACTCATTAGGGCCATATTCAATTAAAATAATTATATCATTCAATTCAAATTTAGTGTATTACTTAGATTTTAATGAGGCATTGCTTTGCTGGCACTTAACATTTAGCATCTAAGCATTATAAAAGATCCTCTTTCAAAATTTTGGTATGCTCAAAAAACATTTTAATCAAATAAAAAATTATATATTATCAGTATGATTTATAAAAACCAAAACTCATTTTTAAATTTTCAGGAACCGGTTCTAACAAAAGTGTGAGTGATCAATATTATATCGTTTATAATGTATGTTAATTTTAAAGGGTTCCTTTATTGTTTAAATATTTTGAATTTTATTTTGATTGCTTTAATATAGTTTAGAACAGGAACCCTCTCAACCGCGTCAAATTTAGAAATCAGAACCCCACTTTTCACAAATTAGAACAGGAAAACCTATTTCGAAATTTTAGAGAATTCTATTTCGTCATATAATAATGTTAGTTATCTAGATATAAAAAGTGTCATAAATTGGCTTTTAGTAAAATAAATTACAAAGACCGGAAATCATTGTGAAATTGTTTAAATAAATAATATTTGATAATTAAATATAAAAAAATTGGTCAAATATTGCATGTTATTATACGATTGTATTGTTTTTCTATTAGATTTATTGACATGGTTGGTCCGCATTGCCACAAATTATTTATAGTGTTAATATGTTTAATATTGGTTACATTTTGTGTCCATCTAAACCCATCTGATATTCATGAAGCTATAGCCAAAGGGGCATCGTTCAATAATCTGATACGAGATCATTTTACTAGTTTGGTCTACGATAAAAGTATTTTTTTAATATTATACTCCCATTTCCCTTTTTATGCAACAAGGTATCAGAGATTTAACAATTAGAGAATTTACATACCCTCTGACACCATTTACTATATATGGAGAGATTGCTCTAGAATATTCTTTTGTTGCAAACCATATGAAAGCCCTTCTTAAGTAAATATTATTTGTTTCTTTCTCATAATTTTTACTTTAATTTAGAGGGAAACTAAATAAATATGAGATAGGGCCCTATTTATTATCCCTTAATATATCTAGTACGACTTTAGCTCGAAAATGTAAAATTGAAAAACATCTGCGAATTCACACATGTAATAAATATGAACGGGAATTGGATGGATTCTGCAATAATATAAAGACTAAACATTGGGGAATGTCAAATATGCCCCACAAAAGACTTATTGAGCCCGATTATGGCGATGGTTATATAGATTTTGTTTTAACATAAAATAAAATTTAGTCCTACATAACTATTTCTAAAATAATCTGATTTTTTATTAAGGACTTAATAATCCTCGAATTGCTAAAAATGGAGAAGCATTACCAAATCCTAGGTTAATAACTAAAAAGGTATTTGGAAATGATGACAAGTTTCATAATGATATGACGATCATGACGATGACATTTGGTCAATTTATTGATCATGATTTAACACAAACACCGGCTCCTACTGGTAATAGTAGTCTTAAAAATACTTATAATATGCAAACTTTAAAATTTATATTCAGGGAGGCAATCTCCAAAATTAGAATGCTGCAAATTCCGATTTAAACACCCATTATGTTATGGCATGCCTTTTCCTTCAGATGATTCCTTCTTTTCAAAATTTAATCAAACTTGTATGAACGCCGTTAGATCTTTACCAGCTTTAAGAACTGATTGCAAAATCGGTATATGAAATATTTCTTAAAATAAATTCAATTTATACATGTATAGGTCCCCGAGAGCAAATGAATCAGGTTTCTTCGTATTTAGATGGTTCGGTGTTATATGGAAGCATAATTGAAGATAATTTGGCTTTGCGAGATGCATCAACACGTATTTGATATTGTTTAAATATTATTTTAAAATATTTATTACAGCTAAAATGAAAGTTCAACCGCATCCATTTAACCATTTAATGAGAGAATTATTACCAGCACAAGCTAATTTACAATTAGAAGAATGTATATATGCACGAAGGGCTCGTTATCATTGCTTTAGAGCAGGTAATTTTGAAGAAGTGTTAAAAATTAAATTTATAAGTTGTCCAATATTTTTTAAATTTGTATAGATCCTATTTATATAATTTGATTGTAAAATAGATATTTAAAAAACTATATATGATAGGTGATGAAAGAAGTAATGAAAATACCCCTTTAACTGCAATGCACACGATTTGGATTAGAGAACATAATAGAATTGCTGATTGGTTGCAACATATAAATCCTCATTGGTCTGCTGAAAAGGGGTAAGATTAAGCTAATATTTTTGATTTCGATTGATTAATATATATATTAGTTTCATCCTTTTAAACATCTATTAGAAATAGAAATTTATTTGTATAAATAATTAAAATCATTATATTTCCAATTAATATTAAAGATTTCAAACAACAAGAAAAATTGTTGGAGCCATGTTACAACATATCTCTTATAAAGAATGGCTACCCATCTTGCTTGGGCCCATAGAAATTCAAAAACATAAATTAGAATTGGCAGATACAGGATATTTTTCAGGTTATAATGAAAATATAGATGCCACTATTGCTAATTCGTTTGCTGCTGCTGTTTTGAGATTAGGACATAGTTTAATCAAGTAAATGTTGTATTCCATATCAAATCAACTGAAAATTCAACCCCCCTTCGATTTTTTTTAAAATTTGTATGATGGAAATATATACACTAACTAGTAAAAATATAAAATTTTAATTCTCAACTCAGCTTACTTCATGAGATAAGGTCATCTTTAGAAACGCGGAAATTCCAAAATACACTATATTTAATTTTAAATATCTCAAAAAGTAATTAAGCTAAAGACATGATTTAAATTTTATTAAATAGCTCTAGAATAGCTCTTTAATATGACATAAAATTAATTTTATTAAAAAAACTCTATTACCAAAAACCGGAAATGGCTATAAAATAAAAATTGCTCTTTTTTTTCTTATAAATTTTTTTTACAGATAGACATTATACTTCTTAATATTTGTATAAAATCCTAGATTGGGACGAATACTGGGTCAATAGTTATTATACTTTAAATATAAGTAGTAGGGCTTAAATCCTATATTATACCAAATATAGAGTAATTATTTTTTTAAAACTAAAAAATCTGATTATTTTGCATTTATTAAATGTTAAAAAACTCAAAACAACATTTACCAAATTGTATTGTATTATTTTAAATATAACGCATAAAACCAAGTAGAATAATTCCGAATGACGTTGCAAATAAAGTAATAGAATTTTATAATTCTGATGAAAACAGCAGACTTATGCCAGGTATGAATAATTTTATATCAATGAAAGTTAATAGAAAAATGAACCAAGTGCAAAAGTGAATAGTTTTATATAATATAAAAGAATTATTTACCAATTTTAAAGAAATAAACTGTAATATAAAGATAGGTTTTAGCAAGTTTGCTATCATGAGACCAAAAAACTATATTTTAGCAGGCGGGTCTGGAACGCATACAATGTGCATCTGCACATTTCATCAAAATTTTAAGTTAATTATAATTAATGGTAAATTAGATGAGTTAACTGCAAACCAGCATAACTCTCCATTTCCTCTCTTAAAAGATTATAAACACTACATTGCACAAAGTCTATGCAATCTAGCCCAGCCTTGCTGTTACTTAAGGAAATGCCAAATGTGTCCCGGCACTTTGGAACTTAAGGATAGACTACACTTATTGTAAGATAATAATGCCATAGATTATATAACATTTAAACAATGTTTTGCTGCTGACCGTACTACACTCGAAACTTTAACAAAGTCCGTCAACGAATTTGTGGAGTACTTGATTGAAAAATTAAATATTTTAATTCCTCATGCATTTATTTCTTCGGAACAATCTTCATTTTTTAAGTCATTAAAATCGAATTTGAAGGATGGGGAATATCTTATAATATCCGATTTTGCAGAGAACTACGCTTTTGTAGTTCAAGATCACGCTCAAGGTTTCCATTGGACTAATAATCAGGCAACATTTTATCCATTTATGATTTATTACCGCGAAGGCGATATCCTCAATCATTTAAGTTACGTGATTATATCAGATTGTCTCTAACACAATACTTGTTCCTTTCATTTATTTCAAGTAAAATTAATTCTCTACTTGAAAGAAAGATTTGATAAGATTTCAATAATATTTTATTTTTCTGATGGAGCTGTTACCCAGTATAAAACAAAAAAAAACTTTGTAATCCTCTACAACCATTATAATGATTAATGTCTACTAGTGATCTGCATAGGGCCTAATTTTTCCCAGAAAGATTTATAAAAAAATTTATCCGGCCCGATCCCAAGCGAATTTTCTTTTTATTTGTTTGTAAATTACTATTCATTTGGTATATAATAGGATTTAAGCCCTACTACTTATATTTAAAGTGTAATAACTTTTTGCCCAATACTCGTCCCAATCTAGGATTTTGTAAACATATTAAGAAATATAATGTCTATCTGTAAAAAAAGAAAAAAAAGAGCAATTTTTATTTTATAGCCATTTCCGGTTTTTGGTAATAGAGTTTTTTTAATAAAATTAATTTTATGTCATATTAAAGAGCTATTCTACAGCTATTTAATAAAATTTAAAACATGTTTTTAGCTTAATTACTTTTTGAGATATTTAAAATTAAATTTAGTGTATTTTGGAATTTCCGCCTTTCTAAGATGGCCATATCTCATGAAGTAAGGTGATTTGAAAAGTAAAATTTTATATTTTTATTAGTTAGTTTATATAATACCAACAAATTTTTAAAAAAATCGTAGTGGGTCGGGTTGAGAATCGACTTTTTTTTGGTTGATTTAATATATATTATTCATATTATATGCCAAAAATAATTTTTACTGAAAAAAATAATTAAATCTAATTGATTGTAGCTGAATTATTATTTATTTATTTTTTTAAATTACACAATATTTTTTTTTTTTGAATAACAACCTTTTATTAAGAACTTTATAATATTTAATACATTGAACGTTAAAAGTAAAACATATATACGTAATCTTAAAAAAAATATATATTACAAATGTCATGTAAACTATTTATATAAAATCTATATAAAAAAACTGTATAATAATAAAAAAAAAATAATAAGTATAGTAAATTGTATGTTGGCTGGGAGGAGGTTAAGAAAGAGAGCCATGGATGGCAATGCAGTTAGATCTGCATATATCAATAGATATGCGCTGTCTGAGATAGAAGCCTTCCTGAGGGTCACCAGTGATGGCGCGGATTTTTTTTACCGAGAATGTAACATCTAAATTTTTTATCAATCACAATAATCAATAGCGTTCTTTCTAAGCACTCATAATTACATCATATACTAAACAGTCAAAAAATTTGATTCTGGCCTTTTAAAAAATACCTTTTGCTCAAATATAAAATATTAAGTGTTCTCATATGGGACATATCTCCTCAGCCAGGCTAGCCTAACTTCCATAAAATTATGCAATGTATTTTTGAATAAATAAAAAAATTTGAGATTATCAAATATATATAGTTGCAATTATCACAATTAGTCCATTCAAATTTTATGTCATTAATGTTACTCTCCACCGCACGCCAACTCGAGACTTGGTGGTCCAGGGCAAAAAATAATTTGCGGCCCCTTAAAAAACACTATATGCTAGCCTAAACTTATTTGAAAACTTTTCGCAGTGAAAACTAAAAGCATATATACATTATTAAATTTTATTCATTAAAAATGAATAAAATCATAAACTAAAATATTGTGATTTTATTTATCCTCATCACTTTTTTATTTGTAAAAGAGCATATTATGGCAGTATTTTCCAAAAATACGATTAAAGGTTTGCATTGGGAGGATTTTTGGACTATAAGACCGCCCAATGTTTTAAAAAATTTTAACCCGCACACCACCCGCCCATAGTTTTCAAAAAACCCTCCCGCCCGCCCATTAGTCTAAAATTGTTTACCTGCCCGCCCATTATTTATATAAATTTTTTAACCCAAACCCGCTATTATAAAATTTAATTATAGCCATTCTTTGAATTTTTTAAGCATCTAATAAAAAATTTTAGCATTACACCTCTAGAAAAAGTTTTATAATTTGGAAATTACTATATTAGGCATATATATTCAATTTAAATTATGGATAATTTATTTGATCAAATAAAATATTTATGAAAAGATATATATATAATTGATATTATATGCAAAAATAATGATGAATCTACATTTTCTGGATTCAAACATGTTCTTCTGTGTTCTAAAAACTTCCTAAAATGGTAATTCCTCGAATATTTTTCTTGTTAATCTTGATATTGGCAAATCTCTTTCCTGTCGTTTCAACCAAAGTAGGATATCCGTTTGAAGTATATCCTCTTCCTCAAGTGAGATCTTTAAATAGTGAAACCAATAGTAATAAATTTCAAAAAGTAATTTAAAATTTAAATTAAATGTAATATGCGCTTAAAATTTTGATAATTAAACATATCAAAACTGGTTTACTTTAAAATTTAAATATTTTGTTATGTCATTAGGTACGATATTCTCCACAACAACCTCGTACTCCCATCTGTTGGGGTTTAATTCTGACGAGGATGCTATTTATTTCAAACATTGCATTTAATAAGTAGCTAATTAAAATTTTATAATTTAGTGATACCCTTTAATTGGATTCTCTTTGCTTTTGGGGAAACGGGTGAAATTAGATTTTCATCCAACTCAATGTTATAATCAAATCCAATATGTTTTCAATATGTTTTTTTTACTTCATTAATTTCTTCCGACGACAACATCCTCATTTATCCTTTGGTATTAAAAATGTTGAAATTTTAAGGAGCATATGAATTTCAAATTTTTTAATTATAAAATTTTTAGCTCTTTTCTTTATTAAATCTATTACTTCTCGCTATTTGTTTTTCTCTCCATTATATCCATATTTATTTGATTATGTTCATATATAAGAAGATTATACCTAAATTTTTTATAAATAAAGAAAAAATTGGCATGAATTCTAAAATATTATTTTCATACCATATAAAAACGTTCTGTAGTGTAGGCCTGCAGTCGCCCTCAAGAGCATTAGTTGCAACCTTATACGGTTCCAAATAATCTATCAGTGTTTTTAAACCTTCCTTTCCCATCGATCCAATTTATTCAGTCATATCACGAGATTGCAAGAACAAAAAAAATCTCATCATATATTAAATAAATGCTTTATAGTATCTTATTCTTTGTATTCAATCTTATATCAATATTTTGTTTTAACATCTTGCTCAGATATTTTACATTGTCCCTTTGTTTGAAATAAGTGGTCAACGATTTTGCAGTTGTCAATTATTAATTTCAAGAGCATTTTCAAAATAAAAGTTGACTGGATTCCGAAGTATTGTGTTCAATATATGTGCTGAAATGTTTAGTCTATTAAATCTAAATAAACGGAAAATATAGTTCTCTAAATATCCATGTTTTTTATTTAGGTGTATACAGAATCTCTCAAAAATTATTATAATATCTATCTAATAGATAAATTTTATAAAATTTAACAAAAATTTACCCATCCAGCTCTTTTTTAATATTTGCTCCTTGGTCCGTTACAAAGATGTGGAAAAATATTCTCGGT